GAAAATCTTGTAAAATATACTTTGAAGACCCCAAGCAGAGTTTACCACAGTATTTAAAACTACTGATGTGTTAATTGTCTACATCAAACTAGATATACAGATTTAGCTGAAATGAGACCTGACAGTAAGTACGACGGAATTAATCACAGTATTTGGCAAATCAATGAGAGAAAACTTACTAATTGTTATAAAATATCAAAAAAGAATTGCAGCTACATGTAAATAATTTATTATAAAATACTTTAAAATATATAAGATAAAGTATTCCATGAGCTTTAGAAACATGACACTTCTGGGGCATATGGACTGTCTCCTGAGCAGCATTCTAAAAACAATGGTTTTAACAGTCAGTTACCATTTACTGGGTTTGTAGTGCCAGACACTAGGACTACGAAGATGAAAAAGAAAGGAATTGTTTCCCTGTGGAAATGATAACCTAGAAAGGGAGGCAGTCACAAATGGGTAATCTCAAAATATAATGCGATGAATACTAAGAGAGATAGTATCATTGCCTACTATGATTTATAAGATGAGAAATGATGGCATTTAAATAGTTTTAAATTACGTAATATTTTTAATAGTGTAATAATGACTTAGCAAAGACATCACTCATGGGCTGGGCGAGGTGGCTCACGCCTGTAATCCTAGCACTCTGGGAGGCCGAGGCGGGCGGATTGCTCAAGGTCAGGAGTTCGAGACCAGCCTGAGCAAGAGCGAGACCCCGTCTCTACTAAAAAAATAGAAAGAAATTATTTGGACAACTAAAAATATATATATATAGAAAAAATTAGCTGGGCATGGTGGCACGTGCCTGTAGTCCCAGCTACTCGGGAGGCTGAGGCAGGAGGATCGCTTGTGCCCAGGAGTTTGAGGTTGCAGTGAACTGCGAGGACATCACTGTACTGCAGCCTGGGTGGCAGAGTGAAACCCTGTCTCAAAAAAAAAAAAAAAAAGAAACCCATTTTTGTATTTCATGTAGGAATTTAATTATTGGACAATACTATTACACATAAAAACAGTATTAATCAGATTAACTATACCTTTTATATATCCAAAATAGTACTAGTTAAATAAACGAAGTATACAATTGTGTTTTTTCCTACCCTCATGAACAAACAAAAAACCACCCAGGCAGAATCACAGAAATCACAGTATTAGATGAAGGACAAAAGTGGCTTTTACACTATGTTCTTACAGAACTGTTGGACCAGGGACCAGAGAGTTCTGCCACTAAGATTAGCTAGTAGCTGTCTTTTCCTAATTGGTAGAAAAATGTCAATATTGAATTTCTTCAATTTTAACTGCTCTTTTTTCCTTCTTTAAAATCACAAAGTGCATATAGTTCTTGCTATAAAATTGCCAGGATAACTCAATCAAGCTCTCCACAACCAGGCCTATAGAGGTGAGCCCTGGTGGCAATCTCATTTCGAGAGAGGCCATTCCTGGGCCACCCTGGGGAGAAGAGTTTGGTGGGGGTGGGGCCTCCTTCATTCACAGTCTGAGGCAGATTTGGAACACTAACACATGCCCACAATGCTGTTAAAGATCAAGTATCATAAATCTAGTGAAACTTATAGACGTCTAAGTAATAAATAAGCATGTAGAATTCTCCTAACCCAAGGAATTCTGAAAGCTGAATTAAAGGAGCTATTTCATTTTATCTTTCCTGAGAATATCGTCTTCAAGCTTCAAATAAATGACTTAGGGTAAAGCTAGCTGTTTACTTGGGTTAGTAGTTTTATACAGAAGTTCCCCGCACATTACTTAGAAAATCAACCATCACCACCCCATACCAAAAAAGAAGCCGCCCCATCTTAAAACACACACACACACCTATGCACACACACAGACATGTACAGCTCCATTAAGTATTGCTGCCACTTACCATAGGTGATTTATAGTATCTATGTAGTATATTTATGAAATCTGTAATTGTTAGCATTCCTGGAATAAAGAATTATATGTTAAAAGTAAAACTATGGAAACATAAAAGAAAAATTTCAAATGACAAGTGAACCTAGAATATTTACTAGAAAATCTTGTAAAATATACTTTGAAGACCCCAAGCAGAGTTTACCACAGTATTTAAAACTACTGATGTGTTAATTGTCTACATCAAACTAGATA